ATTAATTGATACAGGCCCATACGAATTGGGAGGGGGAACAAGGGGATTCGTGTCCCACCCATTAATATTTTTCCACTTGTTACACTAAAGATAGATCCCCCCTTTAACTTATATTGCTTCTTGTGGATCTGTGAAACGTTGGGAAGATAAATCTATGAAGGATATTAATATTAATCCGACAGGAATGAGTTTGTGCAGTCTGTGTAGTTTGAATTTATTCCCCTTTATTAGCTGACCTATTTTGTATTCTTATGAAGCAGAATTAATTTAAAAACTTTTACATGAAAAGGTCTTTAATTCTACTTTTAGATATACGATATTATGTCATTGACAATATTCATTTCCATTCTTACATTGATTAGAAATATCCCATGAACTCAAAATAAAGGACCAAGAATTCTGACCATCTAGATATGTCTCATATCTAGACATTTTAAGAGAGAGATACTGATAAGAAACTAACAATTTAACTTTATGATATCGATTAACGTGATGCCTTCGACTTTTCTAGCGTCAACTTTTTTATTTATGTAGCAATATACCAATATCATCTGCATATATGTTTATGTCTCCCAGTTGATTTGATAGGTAGTACGATCTGAGCACGATCAATTTTTAAACATAGACTGGCTACTAACACATAAGTTGATGTAACAAGGGTATCAACAACCTCGTTTAAAGTCGACATTTTGCAAACTCTATGGTGGTAACAATGACTATGTTTTGAAACTTGCCTTAAAATGTTACATTCTTCTTTTTTCTACAAAATATGAACAAAGAATTACCGAGTTTTCACAATGCATCAAGCTTCACAAAATATGTCTATTCAAAAAAGCAATAGCGATATAAAGCGGACTAAGTGATATTTATGAGGCGCAGTTTTGGTATTTACTGCCAAAAAGTGATATCACCTATTCGAATAGGTGATATCACCTATTCGAATAGGTGATATCCCTATTCAATTGGTGATATCACTTATTCGAATAAATGATATCACCTATTCAGCTTCTGAATAGGTGATATCACCTATTCGAATAGGTGACATCACCTATTCGAATAGGTGATATCACCTATTTGATTTTAATTGGTGATATCACCTTTTCGAATAGGTGATATCACCCATTCAAATAGGTGATATCACTCATTCAAATAGGTGATGTTACTTATTCCTTTTGAATAGGTGATATCACTTATTCGAATAGGTAATATCACCTATTCAAATTATTTATGAAATAACAACTGCTCCCAAGACTATAGCCTTTAATTCTCATTACTTTCACTTTCGCTTTATAACTTACTGTTCTTTTATACAGTGGATTACAGCTTCTCATTTAGTTTTAAGCACCCAAATAGAATTTGTTGTCTGTTTGCTCACAGATTTTATTTATTACACTTATCTATAATGTATATTATAGGAAAAACCGTGAAAATTGCATAACAACTGTTCCATACAGAAAATGCCCCACTTAACATTATAAAGAGAAAGAATGCCACTTTGTTGTACCCCAGCTAGGTATAATTTATAAAATTTATATAACTTTACAGGGGTCGATAACATAAGGTATTTAATATGTCTCGGACTCAAATACGGGGGAAAATTGGGCAGCCCGAATTTGCTTGGTTTCAATGGAAATCTAGATAGTCTTGAGGAAGGGAGCATTCATTATTTATTGTTGCAAGAAATTGATCACCTATTCAAATTGAATAGGTGATATCACCTATTCGAATAGGTGATATCACCTATTCAGCAAGAATAGGTAATATCACCTATTCGAATAGCCAAAAGGTGATATCATCTATTCATTTCCAATAGGTGATATCACCTATTCGAATAAGTGATATCACCTATTCGAATAAGTGATATCACCTATTTGAATAAGTGATATCACCTATTCAATTTGAATAGGTGATATCACTAAATGGCAATATATACCAATGCGGCGCCTCATAGTTGTTAATTTTTGAATATTGGATATTTGAAGATAATGAACTGCAGCGAAAAACGCAATGTAGATTTCGATTTTTAAATTATTGATTATTGATTGTGGAATTAACAAAATTATTACAAATGCAAAACTTATAAACGCTGGAAGGTTAGATTACGGATGCACAGTGAATGCGTGGTAATTTTTGCTTTACAGAAAACAAGAAGTACACCTCATGTCCTTGTCATGTACTCGTAGTCAGATTTTAGTAATTATATTTCATAATTTATATTACCCTAGAATTGGTCTTTCGAATTCGTTTTCTCTCTTTCTTTAATGCATTTTATGAAATATTTGCGTTGGATATCGTGTAAAGTACCTAACTTCACTGTAATAAATGAATGAAGAGTTTGTTTTTCTTGAAATTATGCAGTGCGTAAAAAAAGAAAAATCAAGGTGCGGTCATGCGCAGATCCATTGACCTTGTACCCCCCTCCCCGAAAACGCGGAAGATTTATTGATACTAATTTGGGGGCCCTCAGGGCATACAAGTAAAGAATAATACACATAATATAATTGTGTGTGCTATGGTTCCATAAGCTGTGAATACTTTAATTTATACTGTGGGTATACTTTCCACTTTGTATAACAAATAATTTATTCTTAACATATAAAGTAACACACCTTCACCACAAATGACTTAATAACGGTATTTTATATGAGAATATTTGAGATAATCTGGCGTAAATACAAATATGTAGGATAAATACTGAGTGGACTGAATTCCATACTGCTTCTAGCTGTAGATCTGTAGCTCGGTGTAGACGCTGAAAAAATGGGATGGACGGCCAGAGAGCTACATGTACAGTGCCACTAATTGAAAAGTGTATATTCGTTGCGCAGAGTATATCAATACACGCACAGATACCCCACCCCCTCTTTCACAAGTTCTTGAACACGGAGTTAATTGCGGATTTTTGGACCAGAGTCAGTAGAGGAAATCAGTATATTCCCAAATAATTATTTTAAAGTATCTATAATAACACTGAAATAAGAATTTCACACTTCTAAAATTTGTAATTTTCTTAAAGTTAATATTCTAAATGCAACACAATTTATCAAAGGCACGTAAAATGAAATAAAGAAATATTCAATAAGATACCTCTAACTTAATTGTTTTGTTTTATCCGATTATCCATAATGTATTTTGAAATAAATGTTGACATATAACGAATACGGGAAATGTAGTTTATGATAAACTCGGGAAATACATGTACATCCCCCCCCCCCTCCCCAAGTGAAATTGCTTCCTAAAGGCCTGATTATTGTGCACAGCCCCTGTCACCAATTATTTTGTCGATATATATGGTATACTACAAAAAACAAAGCTACAGACTTTAATAATTACGTCTGATGACTTTTTTATTTTTGGCTTGTCGAGGACTTTTGCCCACCCAAACTAAAAAATGTTTCGTTGTGCCTCCCTCCCAAATGAAATTGTTGTGTACAGCCCCTGTCACCACCACCATCAAACGCACTAGGGCCTCATGATATAAAATTCACAAATATGTATAGAGTGTTTGCTTTATAATATTACTTCAATCCCAGACAGCATGACTACGTTGGACCAACGTTGGTTAATGGTTTTATGGTTGGTCGATAGTTGGCGTTGGGTAGACAATGTTGGGCGAACGTTGGACCAACGTTACCATGTAAATTATCTCTTTAGTATCCAACCATGTCGGGATTCTTACGTTGGTCCAACGTTAACCAATTCCGTTTTGCTATATTTTCTAAGGAAGCTGGGAGTCCAAAGTTGGCCCACTGTTAACCCAACGCTTGTAACGCATATTGATAATTTAATCTGGTTCACAGTATGTTGGCTCAGTGTAAGCTTGAGTGTTTTTTTAAGTTTTCTTTTAGTTAGAGTGAGTACATTGGTCCAACGTTGGCCCAGCACGTTGTCCAGCGTATAGAGCCGATGAGCAAAATTGCATTGGGCCAACGTCAGGTTGCCAACGTTGGTCCAACGCAGTCAAAAACTGTGCGTCAACGTTGGGCCAATTTTAACGTAATCATGTTATCTGGAATGAAGGAGAATGAAGGTGCGGTATAATTTGGTACATGCAAATACCATGCAAAAAAGGGGGCATCAGACGTTTTCATTGAGGGGGCACAAACACATAGTATCTATGTTTTCTATAGTACGTACTCTATATATCGGCAAAATTGCTGGGGGGGGGGGGGGGGCACGGCCCCCCGTGCCACCCCCCCCCCCCCCCGGTTCCTATATATACAGCCATGCTTAAAAATGAACTAAATATCTTTATTTTGGTTAGTAAATATCAAATACTCTACATGCTCTATACATATCATTTGTGAATTTTATATCATGAGTCCCTAGTGGTGAAACAAAGGGGGTACTACCAATTACTTTGCCGATATATCAAATAATTACGTCTGATGACATTTTATTTGTCCATCCAAACTGAAAATGTTTGGTTGTGTCCCCCCCTCCTCCCTCCCAAGTGATATTGCTTTCTACAGGCCTGATTGTTGGAGACAGCCCCTGTTACCACCACCACCATCAAACACACTTTTCGCAGTTGAATATCTTGCTGACTTGTCATCTATATATATATAGCCATAATGCAAATATATTAGTCGATCTCAAACAGGTGAATTGACCTACTTTTTCAGCTTATCTCAGTAACTTTTCATTGCCATTAGACTGTCACACGTGGAAGGTAAGCTCTAGAAATGATGTGTAACTGGGTTATTAACCATGTCAATTTAAATACACCAACCTAGTCTGCATGGATGGTTTTTTTTTCTTCTTTCTTATTATAAAGTGGGAATAGGCCTAGCGTTTAATAAACTTTCATTATGTAGAGTTTTCTTTCTTTTTTTTTCTTTTTTTTTTTTTTTTTGATATTTTTTTTACATTTAAGGGCAATTTTTCTGTACAATGTAATGGGGATAAAGATCAAATATACATTTTTTTAAATGGAAGTGGAGGCTGATTTTGTTTGCATTAGTGTGCAAAGGGAAATTACTCATATTAGGCTCCGAAAGTGAAAGTAGAAATTTATAGAATGATCAATGTCCTGGAGCGTTAAAAGATAGAAAATGGTATGAAAGAATGGCTTATGACTTATTTTTGACAATCTTTCACAAAAATAACGGCCCTGATATATATAACCTTTATAGATATATTTATAAGAATCACAGGTATTTGGGTCTTGGTTTATAAATATGTATGTACCTTATTGATATGTAAAAAAAAAAAAAAAATGAAAGTATGCAAGCTCCGTAATGGCGTCTGCTCAACTCGCTTGTTTACATGGCTTGTTCTTTGAAAATAACGCTGCACCTATCTGTATGCACCGGACGTCTCGGAACACTGATTACTTATTGTAAAAACCCTCACATCTTGAGGCGTTCCGAGAAAAATAAAAATAGTTCAGGAATAATTCAAGTTATATTTAAATTTCCCGGAATGCCTCTAGAATTTTGAAGTATCTGAGAATAAGAGGGTCTTTTATGCTCCTCGTAATCGGAGATTCGGGGGCATATAGTTTTGGTCTGTCCTTCTGTGTTTGTTTGTTCGCAAACCTTTAACCTTGGCCACGATTGGCGCTTACCAGTGCTCATGCACTGCTAGAGCATTCATATTTCACATCTGTTAATTGTGACTGCCTGACTGAGTATAATAGAGCTATGAATATCAACTTATTGATTCTGTGATTTAGACATGCACTCGGGTCCATGTACTCTCCATTTTAATCACTTTTTTTTTTATTTTTGAAATTCTTCTATATTTTTATATTTTTCTTTCCCAGTCAGAGGCATCCTCGCAAGCCAGGGGTCCTGAGTCAACACGTTGCCGTTGGACCAACGGCAACTTGTTGACTCAGGATCCCTGGCTTGTGAGGATGAGTCAGAGGGTGTTAATATGACATGAAGTATGTATATGCATACCATTTAGAACATAAAACAGCTTGCAGACTGTATTCACAAGCACCTGAATTTTAATATCAGTAAGTAGTAAATAAAGCCCTGGAACAAAAACTCTTACCCTCTTTATATTTATAAAGAAAGGGAATAGGATTTTTTTTTTTGTCTAGCTGGCTTTATTTGCTACATATATATTGATAAAAAACAATCAGTTAACATGGTTAATACGTGTGTAAATAAACAATCATATATTAGTCCTGAAGAAAATATTTAGAAATGTTTTAATTTCAGCAAAACATATGCAGCTGTTGACAGTTCATCAAGCTTAAATTTTCTTACATATTTGCAGCCAATCCTGGCAACAGTAAGGGTTTTCTCACCATCATCAAGACATCGATTATTCTCATCCTTTCAAAAAGTTATGGACAATCTGGCCCCACCCAAACCTGGAGCAAGACCTGCCAGTTCATTTGTATATGACAAAGCATTTGTCAATGGAGAATGGGTAGCGGCTAGCAGTGGCAAAACGTTTGAAGGTTTGTATTGTTTAAATAAAGTAACCAGATACAGTTAAGTGTGATACATATATGAGACTGCACAAAAAACAATTCCCAGGGGTAATAAATTTTGCCCAATCTCGTACATGTAACGTACTACACAACATAAAATTTCCCAGCAGATATGAACAATTTTTTATTGTGCGATACTTGATACTTAACTAGGTCACATTTCTGATTGGATTAGCAGAATATGGTTGAATACTTATTGAATTATATTGTCTCGTGTGTTAAGCAAGTTCATACACCATATATCAAATAGCCGAGAGTGCAGGGCACATATTTAGAGTTCAGGGCAGTTCAGGGGGCTAAGGTTTAAATCTTGCTCTGGGCTGCCCTGATGAAGTCCTGTCAAGGTAATCAACTTAAATCTAAGACTCTTGCGTACAGTGTATTGAAATGCTCTACAGGTTACTTTGCCCAGTTAATTTACTATATTAAAAAGAGAAACCTATAAATATACAAATAGATACACATGAAAATTTTGGAACATTGTATTGATCTGTAATCTTGATTCAATGAAATTATTACATTTAAGCTTATATAGGCATGCATGTAGACATATATAATCAGAACTTAAGCTTTTGTGGGTTTCATTTAAATTGTTTATTGTGTATGTGACTTAATGATGGTTTACATGCAACTGTAAATTTGACTTCAGTTGTGAACCCTGCGAATGGTAAAGTTATCGGTTCCGTGCCAGACATGGACGCCACGGACACAGAGAGAGCCATTAAGGTGGCCTACAAAGCATTCCAGAGCTGGAAGGAAACTACAGCAAAAGTAGGATTTATTGTATTAAAAGTATTACATGTACATATATGTAGTTATGAGGGAAAAAGTAAAGGATTAACTCAGTGCTCTTGTAAACAATGGCATGTTTATTCTAACATAAAAAAAATAATTTATGTGCATGCAGATTGCACTGTGTCATGAATTTGAAAAGGAATCTAAAATGAACTTCTATTAATATAGAAGCATAATTATGATATTAAATGATCAATTGTGTTGATGGAAAGAGATTATTGCATATATAATTTAATAATTAAACTACATGTACAATTATTACACTTTTTAATACATTTCTATAATGTGTTTTTATTTTTTATGAACTTTAGGAGAGGAGCACTTTGCTCAGAAAATGGGCTAATTTGGTCAATGAGAACATAGAAGAGTTATCTAAACTTCTAACATCAGAGATGGTATGTCCTTTTTACCGGTTAATTACTATTTGTACTTAAAAAGAAGTGGATGAATGGCATTTTATATCTCAATCATTTTGGGAGATGGAATGGGTGGGGGTTGAGAATTAGAGTTGAAGAGATGTTCAACATATCAGAATTGAAAATCCAATGCCGGTACATGAGAGCTAGCCGACTACTATAATTTCAACATATCCAAGGTATTTGACATATTCCAAGCATTTAACATACATGTACCTGGTACATGTATGTCCAGCATATATATACATGCAGGTACATGTTTAATATATATATATATATATATATATATATATATATATATATATATATATATATATATATATATATATATATATATATATAAGGTATTAGACATAGCCCAGTATCACAGATATTTTCATTTAATTTAGTGAAACTTTCATATGCAACACTTTTCAATTTCATTTTGATAGTGCATCATTTTCATGCACTTTTAATTCTCTTAACATGGTAACAAACTTAGTTTTAACAAATTTTGTTTTTACAATGTAAAATATATACACGTAAATACAGTTTACATCATTTTGAAAGGATTTATAATTATATTTTAAGTATATATCTAGATCATATTGTTAAGATGACTGTAGATCTAGAGTGAAAGATGACCATGAGAAAAAGTCGATCTTTCAAACTTTAATTTGATTTATGCTCACCTGTATGTTACACTATTGTATTGCATTTTGGTTTTTATTAAAATAATTCTGATACTTTTACCTCTGTGAAAAAGCATATGGATAATATTTTCTACATTTAATTGCTTGGAAATTTTGAAATTAAGAGTTAATGAGACTTGTGGATGCACATGTACAGTCAAACCTTGTTATCTCGAACTCTGTGGGACCGAGAAAAAACTTCGGGTATCCAAGAATTGCAGATATCCAGGGTAAAATACTTACAGAATAAGTGCTTTGGACTTCAAAATTACTTCGACATATCCATGGTATTTGAGATATCAGTGTTCGAGATACCGAAGTTTGACTGTATTGAGAAATTTTGAGATGCATTAAAAATTAGTCATTTATCCACACAGGGTAAACCCCTTGCTGAGGCCAAAGGGGAGATAACTTATGGTGGTGGATTTTTGGAATTATTTGCTGAGGAGTGCAAACGTGTGGAAGGGGACATAATTCAGACTCCTGTAAAATCAAGGAGACTCCTTGTCCTGAAGCAGCCAATTGGAGTATCAGGGATGATCACACCGGTAAACTTTCTTTTTTGCCATATTGTATTCATTTTTTCTTTCTTGCAACAGAACTTGACATTGTAAAAGATAAAAATCTACAACAGTTATAATGGTCATATATTTCCCAATCAAGCAGTGAAAATAGTGTGGGTGAATATAAAAATCTTCTCCTTAAATTAAGAACCACTTAGCAAAAGAAGACAGACAAAAATGAAAGCATGCATGCCTATATTTTAGGATTTAGTCTTGTTATAATCCAATTTCTTTCTTCATTGTATCATATGAAAAAAAATAATATGAATACAAAGCACATGTTAAGGATAAAGGTCAATCATAATTTAATTATTAATGTTGATATTTCATCTCCAACAGAGCTCTGATACATACCAAATGGTTATTATGTTGAAACTGAAATGCTGTCCTGGAAAAATTACTTATAATTTGTCACATGTAGAAACTTTCGATCAGGAATAATACTTGAAACATGCACTGATAAACACCAATTACTTTATGTCAGTGAGGAATCTGGTGTATTCTTTGTAGTGGAATTTCCCCAATGCCATGATCACTAGAAAGGCAGGTGCTGCTATAGCTGCTGGGTGTACTGTGGTTCTGAAACCAGCAGAGGACACCCCATACTCAGCACTGGCTCTCTGTGATGTAAGTAGGGGAACCAGTTTACATCATTGCCTTTGCTGGTTCTCATGTTGTATGTAGTAGTGTATTTAATATATTCTGCACTAACTGGCACTAATTTACACATTTGTTCTCGAGATTGATATAAGTTTGCCATATGTAAAATGTAATGTAATATATAATGTAAATGTAATATGTAGACATTTATTAATTCTACTTTCTTACCAGTTATTGGTCATTTCTTTTGGTCAGTATAATTAGAGAAAGAAAATGAACTAGCTGGCATGCTAGAGTGATACATTGTGAAGTAGATGAGAAATTTGATAAAATTCTAAATTAACACATGTCTATATCTCCTAGACAGGTCTGTTAATGCAAGTTGATTTTTTTTATACAGTTGGCTAAGGAGGCGGGAATCCCAGCAGGTGTGCTAAATGTGGTAACAAGTTCCCGTAACAATGCAGGTCAGGTTGGAAAGACCATATGTGAGAGCCCTCTGGTAACCAAAATGTCATTTACTGGGTCAACTGCTGTGGGCAAGGTAATGAACAGAATTTAATTGATTTCAAGGAGTTTGAACCGTCATTTTTACCCCCCTCCCTGTGAGATACAAATAAACTGAACTCAAAGCAGATGTTCAAAAGATTAAAATGCCTAAGCAGCTGCAGACTGCATGAATAGAGTAACTGAGTTTTATGGAAGATTGCAACCCTTGCGACCTTTTAGATATTAAGTAATCACTGTCTTTTACCCATTTTTGTAGCTATTACTACAGCAATGTGCCTCCACTGTGAAGAAGGTTTCTCTGGAGCTAGGAGGTAATGCACCATTTATTGTCTTTGAGAGTGCAGACGTGGATGCAGCAGTTCAAGGGGTCATGGGGGCGAAATTCAGGTGTTCTGGACAGGTGACTCTTTGTTGTTTTACACTATCTTTTAATTAGGTAATGGTACCTAATTTAGTTTCAGATACATTGCATCAGAATATAGGTGCCCTGTAGAAAGCAAAGTTTCTTTTTCATTCCTTTCATTAGTCAACACCTTTGAGTGACCATTAAATCATAATTGTTAACCTGAAGAAATCATTTCAGAACTTTAGAAAGGAGGATAAATGTCAAGGTCATGTAAAGTAGAAAGTAGTTGAATGACAGTATCTTTGTTCAGTGGTCCAGGCTCCGAGGCCATAAAACTTAGACGATCGAGCTCATTTTTGATCCCAATTTCACTTTTACAAAAGGAATTACATGTATTAGTGGAAAAGTGAGACTGAGATCAAAAGTGAGCTCATCTAAGTTTTATGGCCCCGGGCCAGATGTTTTGTAGTGCTGATGTAGCATGAAATCATCATTTTCATAAACCATCTATTCATATGTTCTTCTTTTTTTAGACTTGTGTCTGTGCCAACAGAATTTTTGTCCATGAGAGCATTTATGATGAGTTCGTACAGAAGATGGCAGTTGTAGTTGAGAAAGACCTGAAGTTGGGAGATGGAATTGATCCTGGTACAACCCAGGGTCCTCTCATCAACAAGAAGGCTGTGGAAAAGGTAGAGTAAATAAAATCCTCACAATAATATTCTCACTGGGAGTTAAAACAACATACAATCAATTTTATCAGCAAGATAGATATGGTTTCATGCCTAAGGAGATATTCAGAATTCGAAAAGTTCTTGTCCAATATCTTTAAATCACAAAACCATTTAATTTTTGTGTCAGGTAAACATGAAATACATGTTCATTTTGTCCTCAATTTATTATCAGTATACTAGAGTATATACATGTCATTACAGTCTTATATATTTTCTATATACATATTTAAATGCAGATCGAAGCACATGTTCAGGATGCTGTTAGTAAGGGTGCAAAGGTGGTGTGTGGTGGGAAGAGCAAGGGAGGTAACTTCTTTGAGCCAACCATTCTAACAGAAGTCACCAATGAAATGAGGTGTTCCAGGGAGGAAATATTTGGACCAATCGCTGGCATCATCAGGTATGCTTATAATCAGTGATACATTCCATCATCTGGGAAGTAATCAATTTCAATTTTGAACAACCTCATGTCAGATAGATTGAGTAACAATTGATTTACGTTAAATATAATTTAAATGTTATTGAATATAGAATAATTGATTGTAGTTATAATTACAAGAAATCAGTCCTGGATCCATTACATATGTTCTGCATTAATTAATAATTAAAATACATATTGGTTCTGAATACAGAAATTGAGAATGAATTTGAAGAAAGTATTCCTTGCTGTAATTTATCACTTATATACATGTACACTAAATGTACACTGTTCACATTGCATTATCATTTCTATTAAAAACCAAACCATGCATTAATTGTGCCCCTTCCCCCCACATAACTCCAAGGATTACATACCAGGGAGTATAAGCCTGTTGAAGTGATGGTCCCTTTAATTCGTTTTATTGTTAAATTGTAACATGTCAAAGTACACAGTAGAGCAAATAATTGCCTTATGTACTTTCCATATGATTCACATAACAAATCTTGTGACATTACTGAGGTCAGCCTTATTTTTACCTTCATAAACACCTCTTCCACATCTTGTACCACAAAACACAGTGTTTGTCATCAGAACAAGTTAACACAGATTTCTACCAATGAGGTATAAATTATGGATGATGTTTCTATTTCAAAGTCAAAATCCATTAATAACAAAATACAAATTACCTGAGTGTTCAATCACTGTGTTGTAGTTTTGTTTATTTGATAATTATTTTGGAGCTCTATGTTCTTTCTTTTTGTTGTTGATATATTATTTTTTTAAAGGTTTAAAACTGAAGAGGAAGTAGTTGGCCTAGCAAATGCTACATCGTCTGGGTTAGCAGGTGAGAATTAAAACAGAAAATATGATTTCTAGGTCTGAAACTTTGATTACCATGTGTTCCTAGGCCATAAAAAAAATGTTTTGCTTGATGTACTCCGGCTCATATTTTTCAAGGTGGTAGGTAGGTAGGCTTTTATATTTATTTTTTTAATTTTTGGAATTATCTAACACAATTCCTTTATGTTATGAAAATCGCAGATTAACACATTTATTCCTCCATAACTCTTATCTAAACTACATCAGCATAGTTTATATGTTTTTAAATTGCAGCAAAACCAAAAAAGACATAGAACCTGAAGTTTAAACACAAATCATACCATCTGTATTTTCCCATAAACAAAAAAAAAAATTTAAAATTTAAATTACTGAAAAAAAATGATCAGGTATGGACAATTTTGATGGGTCGGTTGAAGTACATCAAACAAAACATTTTTTATTGTTGGCCTTATATATTAAATTAAAGTCAAATCTAAGCTAGTAGTGGAACAGGGAGGTAAATGGAATAATTACAATATATTGTAACCCTCACAATATATTTTACAAGACATGCTACACGTAGATAGAGGCGTAAATGATTGATTTGATGTGGTTAAGGATTGATAAAGCCAAACCTGATACGAGACTGAATACTTGTAGCAATTTAAATCTAATCGTCTTTAAAGGAACAGCATGTATGTTACATAGAGGAACTTTTGTTATATAACAATTGTTTTTATTTATAGGTTACTTTTACTCCCGTGACTTTAGCCAAATATGGAGGGTGGCAGAACGTCTGGAGTCGGGACTTGTTGGTGTAAATGAGGGAGTCATCTCTACCCCTGACGCACCATTTGGGGGATGGAAAGAGTCGGGTCTAGGTAGCGAGGGTGGACGTTATGGCATTGAGGAGTACTTGGAGATAAAATATGTTTGTATGGGAGGTCTACAGTAAGAATACTGGCAGGGAAAGACTATAATAGTCTTGGCTATGATCATTTTGTCTTTGAAATGAGGGGTGTTTTTAGGCTACTTTTGGATACAGATTACTAAAAATGCACACATTTTCTGGTGTTAAAAGATTTCTATCTAATGATTTTATCTTTATCCCTTCCATTGAAATAGAATGTTTTTATGCATTGTTTTTTCCATAACCTTAATTTTTTTTTCTTAAATTGTTGTGGGGGTGTTGTATGCAATTAATGGAATTTTATGAAGATTCTAGTATCATTATGATGAAGGAATAAAGGATAATTGTAGGTATGTATTTTCTTTCACTGTTTTGGAAATATACTTTAGAGAGTTTTGTTGATACTCAATCCTGCTTTTTTGAATTAAGAAAATAACCTGCTATTGAATTATTACCTGTTGCATTTTATTTACATAGTTACCAAATTTGTTTATAGATTTCATAATTCTTATTTATAAAAATTGTTTAAATACTTTATGACTATCCAATGTTTTACTGAAAGTGTACATTTATATCAGCATTCCCTTTCCTGATTTCAGTAAAAATAATATGCTCAGTTGGTGCTTGATTCATTTCTTAATTATAATATTTGATTAATATAATGTTGCATATTGTGTAGATTTTTTAATCTATTATAATGTCATATGGGAGATATGTAAACATATTCCAGATATTTTATGCAATACAAGATAATAAAATGATAAAACAGTTGAATTTATATTATTTAATGGTATATAAAATAAATAAATGTAAAACATGAAAGACAAAAGTATCAGAATGATAAGAAAATGTTCATTGTTCAGACATGAACTACATGTATTAACAGAAAATTTCAGAGATTTTAAATGCTAACCTTTGATTTTATCCAGCAGCCCTATTGGTATCCAGAACAAATATTCATATTGACAAGTAATCATATTTTAAATGTAATTATAAAAAGCAGCAGATTGTGCCCCTTGTAGGAACTGTGTTTTGCATGTAAAATACCTATTAATAAAGTCATAATTTGTTGAATTTAAATATGCTGGAGCTCTCATTGAGGCATATTGGTTTTGACTAGATTAAGGTCCTCCCCATAATTCAGGTCCTCCTCATAATGCCCTTTCAAAACAAATATACTTATATATTACTCTTGAAATTATTCAGTTAGTCATTGCAGACCTCTCATCAAGCAACTGTATACATTAAAACACAGTTAGAGCGAACATGCTTTTAACAAACATGTGCTTATAAAGAAGAGATGTTTTTATTCCTTGTAGTTTAAGACGTATTATGAACTTAACAGATTTTAAATAGAAAGAGTTAGCTTATTTGGCACTTTGCTATAAGCGTACTTTACTGTAGTATAATGTATAAAGTTTTATGTGGAGCTGTCTTTTTTGGCAATTGAACGTCGAACTTCATGAGAAGCCCGCGTCAACAAGGACAAATTAGAGTCTTCTGCCCAGTCTCTCCATTGATCCGTAGCTCGTAATTCCTTCCTGATCCAAATCGAGAGTAGACAAAGATCACAAAGTTTGTCTGAGAGTAGATTCTGATACGTCTTAAGTTTTTGGCAATCCTTCTGTTTGACTGATCCCAGAAGCATCTATAATGTAAAGATAAATTAAAAAAAGAAATATCGTTTAAAGAGTTCAATTAAGAGGGCTGGGTGGTTGTGGCCATTTTCAGACTATATTGATCTCCTTTAGAAGAAGAGCTCCATATAAAGATATACAAAAATGATCAAATTTCAAAACTAAAATGTATGAAATTTTTGTTTGCCAAATGATAGTTGACAGCTTAAAGGGTTTTTATCACGTATCTAAATTTCTTAAAAATGAAACACTGTTATATTCTTGAAACATATAATTATCGTTTAATTGTGAAATGTTGAAAACGGCCGTATTTAGACGATAATATGCCCGTAATACAGGGTCCTCGGAGTAAAAATCTCCACTAATTAGATAGGGGTCACGTGGTACTGAAACGTCATAGGTGTCAATGGTCAATAGAACTCGTAAAGCTTATCGTAAGAAAAAAATATATTGAATAGATTTTTACGCTAAATAAATAGAATACACAATATGGCCGGGTGAAATTTTGACATCGACTATATTCCTTTGGTTTTGGGCAGTCAATCTTTTATGTATGAACGTCTAGCAGAGAGAAATAACCAGAAAATATGCCGACAATTGGAGAGTGGTCACCGAAGACGAAGCCGTTGACAACTCGGGACTTCGACTAAATAGAACGAATTACTAAAGCTTAACTTCGTAAACATTTATAAATATGGGAATTTTAAATTCTCCTCCATTACTATTTTAATTAATCATATAAATCCTGTATGTTTTTTATCTGTTCTAGAAGTGAATATCATGTACTAGAAATGACACTTCTTCAATGGCGCCGTACGCCATTACGAAGTTCACAACATTCCTATGAGATTCTGATCGACTTTTAAAAAATGCATGTTTGTCATTTATTATTTTTTTAAAGGTAACTTTCCTTAAAATATTTTATAGGACAGAAAAAAATTGTGATCGATAGGGCATAAATTGTTTTGAATGGAGATAAACGCCATCGCATTTGCAGAAAAAGGCCCCCCTTTCATCTCTCGACCAAGTCCAGGAAATGTGGGAAAAAATTCTTCCTAAAACCTTTCTTTTGCACATTTGTGCATCCTAAAGCTTTAAATTATACCTTACTAGCTGTCCATTATCTAATTATCTATTAATTATTTTCTAACAGGTTTAATAGACACAACAAATGAGCCCTTTTGTATACACAATAAGTACTGCGCTTGACCAGGATTGACACCTATGACGTCAGAGCAATGGCGCGTAACATCGGCGATCAAAATATGCATATTGAGAAATTCAAACTTTGAATCGCTGAAACATCAAAAATATTAATTTTTTAGCAAAGATTTTTAAATATATGATTTTAATAGCATGTAAACTTTGTCATATCAAAAAATTTTGAGACGTGATATAAACCCTTTAAGATATCATATCTAAAAAAATAAGTTATATCCGACGGTTAATTTGTTGACCCTCCAACCTCCTTAAATACATGTAGTTATATCAGTTGAATTTGATTCTTTGCAAATATAAACATGAAAACAAGTGCTATGTAATTTAATCGTTTTCTTCTTTTACAATCATATTGTAATAATTGTAATACAATTTATATTAAAATAGCAACTAAACAATACAATGTCTGTAGCCATACTTAATTACATGTAACGTATGTACATGTTATTTATTACGTAGGTAAATACATATAGTAATGGTTAGATACCTCTTCCAGACGTTTTGAAATGAAGTCGACACGATTTACAATTTCTTCACACTTTGTCAGTCGTCGGCTCTGGAAGCTGTTAGATATGGGTGGTAGTGAGACGAAAATGTTCTCCAGAAGATTTAGAGTCTGGAAATAGATCATTATAACAACTACAAGTATTTTGTGAATTATCTGAAGATACAGCGTCAATTTGACTCTGAAATCTTTTACTTCATTTACATTGGTTTCTCGACATCCCTAAGGCCTTTGATATTGAACCATTTTAATTACATGTATAATTTTTCTTCTCCCCTCGTGCTTTATTTAGTATAAGCCATTTATCTGCTACTTGTAAGAAGATTTTAAAAGGCTTTGGAAAATCAAACATTTATTCATGTATTTTTCTTCATCATGCACTGAACTAAGTCTGGGGCACGTGACTTAATAAATTTGATATTTATTGAATTATTGCATACCGGTCAAAAATTTACACGAAAAACAATCAAAATATTGCCGTAATTTTTTAAAGTAAATTTAAAGTACTCCGTAATGAATTTGTCAGTGGTGAATTGTTTCCAAATGGTTAAAGAATCTGAAACAATTTTAGAGGAAAACATTGAAAAGGACAACAATATTTCTTTATGTATGTAACATCATTTACCTTGATAAACAAATTCAGATGTCGGAACTCAGCCACCTTTGCTCCGGCTTTGTCTTGTTGTTTTCCTGGGTGTTTTTCTGCGACCTTTTCAAAATCCGACACATCCATTTTGTGCTGTAAAACGAAGTAGAATTTTTTTTCTGTAGAATTTTTATATTGCAAAAAAAAAAAAAAAAAAAAGATTTCATACTCTCATGTTATGAGCTTTAAATATAACCAGTAATCGTAATTTATAATAAATTCATTTTTTAATCAATTATTTGAGGCAATGCTTATTCATTTCGGTCTTGATTTTTTAAAACTGTAACGAATATCTTAGAAAATTTGAATCAAGAATATAGTGTGGTACTCTGCAACATCTTCTAGATGCTTTTAATTCCCTTCTTCAAAATTATCCCTGCATATTAAAAGAAAGCAATATACCTGAAGACGTCCAAAATTTGTCTTTTTCCATTTAATAAGTCTTCTTTGCATAAGTCGGCAAGATATTGCCTTCTCCATGTAATTTGTAGGTAGTTTGTAATTGATTCTGCTTGAAAATTCCACTAACTGTTGACAAAAAGTATTTGTAAAAATTATCAGCAATTGAAGATGACTAGTTTTCATACATGAAATTATATAGAAATGCAGTGATTTTTTAAGAAGAACTTCAAAACTTTAAAAATGTGCACATGTTTGTCAGTTTGATAGTTTCGCCAATTCATACTAAACGTTACATGATAATTTGTACTTCTTAATTCAGGTCTTTATCGATAAAATCGCACCTCGTTTGAACCATTCCTGCACATGTCTTTTTTCTTGTGGTCAACCATTGGTCTTAAGCACAACCAACAGAATGTGTTCCCGCACCTACACGTCATCACCTGACAGCCTCCATTTTTGTTAATTTTCTCTTGACAACGAGGACACGTCTTAACCTCGACTAGGAAACTTCTGTCGCCACCAATAGCTACATCATCTTCAATAACAATCAATATTATTGAATCATTATCAGCAATGAAGGTAAAGATGTTACTATATATTTCAAAGTTAATTAACGTACTTAACAAGCAGGAAATGTATATTTCACTTTTTTCAAACTTAAACATGAAATTTTACAATACCATTAAGGAACTGCATGGTTGACAAGAATGATTGAAGTTATATAAGAGTTTTTTTTAAATTTCAGTTTAGTTTTGTTTTTTGCCCTGCTTTTATATATTATATAATTTATCTAAGGTACTGAGGATACCTATGACGTGGTCTGATATTTTGTGGTAGGTCCTTGCTTGACGGCAAGTAGCTGGCCAGTGAGGGGGTTGCTGACAATCAACGCAGAATTCTGCTTTACACACACACGTCACTTCCCTTCGCTCAGACAGGGATTTCAGACGCTCAGTCCCCGCAAACTTTGCAATTTTGTCTAAAATTGAGTTAATAAATTGTAATTCTACAAATCTGATAAAACTCGCCTAACTGAAATCTGATACTTTAAAAGTATGACAAACTGACCTGAAACGGAAACGATCTTGCCACATTTGAGATTGGGGCACCACTTCCATATCTCACGTGACATAACCGTTCTTTCCATATGTCTTTTGCTCCAAGAACGGTATAATGGACATGGAACCAAGTACAAAATCATTACTTCGTCAATAATACTATTGCACTCATTTTCCTATAAATTAAAAGTAAAGAATTTGTAACTACAGAGAAGAGATAAATCCAGGATTGATATCTTGAAAATGTGAATTTGATTGTAGGAAGTTTCTTTGATAATGCAGTACTAGAAACTTGACCCTTGAATGACGCACGATCCCTTTGATCACAAGACCCTAAAAGGTACATAAAGTTAAATGTCACCGAAATTCTACTCTTTTTTATTATTATTTCTAGACAACCTGAATGTGACTGAATTCTTTTACATGTGTTCTCTACGTTTTACACACATCTCTACGGAAGCCCAATAGTGCAAACCAAAAATAAATAAACAAAAACGAAATTATTAAATAAAGAAAACGAAATTATTAAATAAAGAAAAACGAAATTATTAAATAAAGAAAACGAAATTATTAAATAAAAAGCAAACGAAATTATTAAATAAAGAAAACGAAATTATTAAATTAAGAAACCGAAATTATTACATAAAGAAAACGAAATTATTAAATAAAAAACTGAAACTAAAATACGGAATTTATAGATGTGCATGGTAAGGGCCTGAACCCATGAACCATTCCATAAAGCACACGTGTTCTATGACCTGATTTTGTTTCGACATTAAAACAAGTGTGATATTTGCATTTACACTCAGCTATTTCCGTATCGATAACATAACCAGTTGGAGTAGACAATCATAATAGATGAATAGGGGAGAATTTTACCTTTGGTTATCCAATATGCTTAGATCTATGTTTTTATCTTACATTAACATGATTAATGTGAACTTAATTTGACCAGTCTGATGAATTGGCCAGTGATGACAAATTTATGTTAGTATTAGCTTTCTTAAACCCTCAACTCAGAAGGTCTAATTATTAGCAAACAATGAATCTGGACATGAAACATCAAAGAGATTATGCTAATAAATTGCACAAATATTTAAGATATACATGTCTGTTAAGATTCCGTTGTTTACAACTGCTGAACCTTATAACATTTAGGAAATTCCCATGGTTATACATCTTTTTTTCAATTATAGCACAGTACAAAAAAAGCTGTAAAATGATACGTTACCGATCGGAACCCATTTAAATTATTGTTTAAAGAGAGCAAGTGCAAAAATTAAACAAGACAAATTTGTTACAATGAGTAGATTTTAATGATTGCTTACTTTATTAAAAATTAAGCAAAACACCTCTAATTTCTTGCACAGGCGCTCCTCATGTAATTTTGTAAATGACAAATGATAAGTATATATATATACATGTACATAGGTCTACCCCTCAATACTATAAAATCAACAAGGTTGATTTTATAGTATTGAGGGGTAGACCTATATATATATATACTTATCATTCGTCATTTACATAATTACATGGGGAGCGCCTGTGATTTCTTGGTTGGTCATTTATCAAAGCATAATTAGAAGTGATGCACTAACTATTTGTTCTCACATGTTCTAAATGACAAATTCTCAATCCGTATTTATAAGTCAGTGATAGTTGTGACAAACAATGCACACACTTGCATAACAAACCCAACTAGTATTCAAATCATTCTCTTTATTGTTTCAACAACCTAAGATTTATGGATACACAGATAGGGCACTAGGTTTAGTTCGGGGGGAATTCAGCGATACGATACGCAAGGCCTTGACCTTTCAGCGATTCATGAGCTCTTTTGGAATGTCATTAATTTTATGTAAGCAGAAACAGCCATCCTCGCTACGTCCAGGCTTACAGGCTCAAACTTTGACGTTGTGGGGATGCGACACAGCATCAAATTCCCGTAAACAAAATTGAACAGTTATTAATCATTTACTTTACAAATGCGAATTATAGGCTGTGAGCACATAATGTTTTTCTACGTTTGTCAATTTGACATTTATCTAAGTTTTTTTTTTTTTTTTTCATTTCCCCCACACTTGTTTCAATGTCGAAACAAAATCAGGTCTGTAGAATTACTAAGTGATGCTTTATAACACGTGCGCTTTATGGAATGATTCATGGGTTCAGGCCCTTACCATGCACATCTATAAATTCCGTATTTCAGTTTCAGTTTTTTATTTAGTAATTTCGTTTTCTTTATTTAATAATTTCGTTTTCTTTATTTAATAATTTCGTTTGTCTTTTATTTATTAATTTCGTTTTCTTTATTTAATAATTTCGTTTTCTTTATTTAATAATTTCGTTTGTTTCTTTATTTAGTAATTTCGTTTTCTTTATTTAATAATTCCGTTTTTTATTTAATAATTTCGTTTTTTATTTAATAATTTCGTTTTCTTTATATAATAATTTCGTTTTTTTGTTTCTTATTTTTTTGGTTTGCACTATTGGGCTTCCGTACATCTCTCTAAATTCTTAATTTTGCGACTGAAGAATATGTAAAATTAATGCACAAATTACAATGGTTCGCGGCAAGAAATTCTCGAGTAAAGGATAGAACTTTGCAAAAATAGCGGGCATTTACGCACGCGAATGATAGTTTACATTGTTCCATGACATTTTAAATTTTTCCTAACTTATGATAAAGAAAGGTAGTTTTATATGTCCATTTAGACTTTACCAGACACGTCACCTCCGTTGCTCCTTGCTCTATTTTGTCTACAGTGTACTGAAATACACAATTTCTGCAAAATATATGTTGGCATGGTAACAAAAGAAGCCCATCATCTTGATAACTATTTTCTGCAGAAGTTAAACATACAGAACAGGTGAAGGTGGTAAGAGCGATTGCCTTTGTCAACTGAAAGGGCAGATGTGGAGTCTGAAATAAAAAATAGCAAGAATTCAATATGACAGTTTGATTTATATGAAATTCGATGGAAAGAGACAAGTTCTAGGAATATGTGAAATAACATATGTTAAGACGAGAAGAGAATAGTTCTTAAAATATTACAAAATATTCAATATCTACAAACTTAAGTCAAATAGAAATCTGGGGTTCGTTTCGTTTTGAAAGGTGTTCCGCATCCGTATTGTGTACATTTTGTATATTTATATGAAATTATCTAGAATTCTAGGATTTGTATTTCAATGATTTCTGAAATTTACTAGAGTAGAAAGCTCATTAATACTGTACCTTGAGTTCAAGTTGATTTAAGCGTGATTTGTAGACATGATCAATGGTTGATACCCTGTAAGTTACTGTGGTCATCCAATCAAATAAGGGCTTGCTTACTTTTGTTACGTACACAGGTTTTCTATAATGAGAGAAAGTAAAAATAAGAAATATAACCATTTTGTGTATGAATTTTAAAAAAAATCATTCAATTGCTTGTTTGTTTGTTTTCGTATGTGTGTTTTTGATTTTTTTTTTAAATTGTTGTTTTGTGTTGTTTTTCTCTTTGAGACGTTTTCTTGTTTGCTTCTTTTTTTGGTTTTGCTTAGCTATCGCACGTAATTTAACACTCACTCGTCTGTAGTGTAATTTTCTTCTTTGACTAGTCTCTTTGAGAGATTGTAGATTTCCCAGAGAGAGGACGGCGAGGAACCACATCCAGAAACGTAGGCTCTTATGTTCTCCATCATTACATTCCATAGAATATCACTATCGGCATTTATTTTCAATCTGAAAAAAAAAATACATTTACAATGTAACTTTTAATGAAGGGAGATATATATTGTCTGATGATTTTTTCTTCTCCTTTAAGTTTTGTTGCAAATGTTTCCAGACAAGAACAATTAGCATAAAGCAACTTTTATCTTAGGTAATTATGATATTTCAAATGTGGATCTATCATCATAATATGATCATTACGTATAGTTTTGTCATACACTCCATACATGTAAAAGCTTATCCAGACCATACATCAACCCGGTCTAAGATTTGTGGTGTTTTATCTTTATGTAATGGTGTATTATGACCCACAATGTTTTATGTTCCTCAGCTTAAAGTTTTAATGTTCAAATTCTTAGTCGAGTTTGTTAAAGTATTTTTAATTTAACATTTTTTAAAATGCAAAACGTGCTCAATTAAAGGTAAACATGTACATTTTTTGATCTCTGAAGTAATTTTTCGGTAATTTAAAACCTTTTCCGTGTCAGAAGTTACTATCCTTTAAATCAATTTTAGGATATTTCTAGTCATAAATAAGTTTAATCACCTTCATCTTTAAAGTAATTTAAAGGGAGGTACCGGTTTGTAGTTTTATAAGCGAGAAGAATTATTTAATCTAAAAATAAACCCAACATATTCCTGATTCATAAAGTATTTTACATACATTTCCTTACAGTACATACATGTTTTATAAAAATATTTCTAAAAATCTGTTCCAACGGAACTTGGTCACATAGCTAAAAAAAACTTTATCTTATTTTTTGACATAAAAAATTTAACCAGAAAATATATTATCCGACAGTTAATTATAACATATCTGTAGCAATTCATGTTAGCTTGAAGCAAAATTTGAACTATAACAATATAGGCGCTATATGAATTAGATACGGATAATTCTTACCTCATGTAAATTTCTTACCTGTAGATGCCTGTACGTTGTACTGTGTCGAAGACGACCGACTTTGTAGATTCCTGTAACAGCAGAGATGGTCGCAGAGAACTTTCTGGTGTGAAATGTTTGGCATTTCCGTTGATATTATGTACTAATGGAATGGAAATAATTGGCGGAAAGCAGCTCTCAGAGTGTTGCACAAATCGACTTTTTAGAAATTCGTCAAATTCGGATTTTTTGATCACACAAGCTATAAATGTTTGAGATTCTATATTATCATTACTGAATGACGTATTTTCTTTGGTCTCATTGTTTGCATTTTCAGTTTTTACATCTGGGTACACAATGTGTTTGGTTTGATCCACAGTAGCTAGCTCAACTTTTTTCTTGGTTGTGAATGGTTCAATTTTTTTCTTAAAATGTTTTGTTTTGTGCCCTTTATGATATTTTTCATGATATTGTCTCAGTAGGTCCTCTATGCTCACATCTAAAGTTGATTTCTTTTCTAAAGTGACTGTTTGCCTCCCACTATTAAGAAAAGAAAGTCCCTGGATGTAAGAATCATCCGGCGTTTCATTGTTGAGTACAGTCCTCTCTGCAAGGGAAAAAACTCTACCAACATTTGTAGGAGAGGTAACTCTATCATACTCAATCAGTAAGCATTCTTCTGTGTCTTTGGGATTCCATTTCTGCCAGCGCTTGGTTTTCCTACCATTAACACATCCTTTCTGTTTTGTCATTGCTTTCTTCGATAGATTTTGTCTTCTTGCGTTTGTACATCGTAAAAGATCTTTAAGAAAATTAAATAAAAGAGAATGAAACGTGTTTTTCAACGATTTTTACACGTCATCTGAATGCCGATTTTAAAAAAGTATGAAAATTATATGAAAGAAATGATGTAAGATATTGTTACCTTTATGTAATGTCATAGGGTTTTTTTTCTCCAAAATCTTTCATTAAAGAATTAAAATTACACTTTGTGCCCGGTAAAGTATATCTTTTGAAAACAATGTTTTTAAGTAGGCGTAGTAAAAATTTGCTTTAGTAAAAGATTTCTTTAAAAAATATTTTCTATGGGTAATTGCTTATTTTATAAATGGTGCAAAAGGCAATAACTATTACTTGTGGTTCTTAACCCAAAAACTGTAAAATTAACGTATATTCATAAAGTAACAATCATTTGGAACTTGCAGCATTTCAATTATACATGTATATCATTAGAGTAAGTTTTAATGCGATTTTACAAAATATCTGGAATCTTTAAAAAGTGGCTACCTACATCTTTATGTGAACAATATCATACTGTCATGTAAATAAGTTGAATCTGATTCGTCGAGAAACATTTGTTATAAAACACTATTATCAGCTGCCCTCCATCGTAGCAACAGTCAACATTGCTTGACGACGGGTGATATTCCAAAAAAATAGTGACTGCGCAGAATTTATGCGCGAAAGGTCACCATTGCAATATTTGTATAAAAACATTCAGTATAATATAATAAATATTGCATGTAGTTGAGTGTAACATTGAAAATTTTCACCCCGCGAAAACCATTGTCAACCTCGGCTGCACCTCGGTTGACAATGGTTTCCTTGGGGATGAAAATTTTCAATGTTACACTCAACTACATGCAATATTTATATATAAATTGGACATTAGGTTTTTTTTAATTGAAATCCACACAAGTGATCAATAATAAAAACTGGAATAACATGTCATTTTTCTGTACCTTCTTTTGTTGTTAAATAAGAACAATGAAATTTTTGAAAGGCATTAATTAATTTAGAGACAAATAATTAAGTATTATTTTATTTTAAATAAAAATATTAATGACCTCGAGATCTTAGAAACATCCATTCTCTTAGCCGTTGTGGTCGGAAACGTGAAGAAAATGTTGGCTGGCAAATGGTATACCTAACTTCCGGAATATCACTATCCAAACCAGCTATCAACCTACATAAAAGGAAGATTAGGTGAAAACATCACATCATTTTTTTTTCTTTCACTTTCCATTCGCGATTAATTCCTTATACTCGCAATTTAAAAATTCTTGTTAAGAGCAATAAAAACAGAAATATCTCTTTATGTAAACGGTTATTCTGTTTGTATAAATTCTAAACCTTATTGACAATAAATTCGATCACCCTTACTCATTTGTTTTGTATGGTGGTATATTATTGACTTTTGGTTTCTGGCGTAATAATTCGGTCTTTCGTTGGAGCCCTGGTCGGCTTTTCTGATTATGCATCCATCTTTTTCTGTCCTGTACAGTTCCATCCTCTCCTCGTCCAGTGCTCTTTCTTCGAAGCTCTGAGAAATGTGACGTCTTTTTAAAGGGGAGAACAATGGGGAGTAGGGCTCTGCTATCCAAATACTTAACATAGTCATCCCAATGAGGGCTTAACAAAGTCTCATTATATGTCAAAATCGTCCTCCTCTCAGCCACGACCACCCGAAATTCCTCCCCTCTCCAAAAATCAATAGAATCTGAAAATAACGACCTTTTTCTTTTTTTCAAAGAAAACAGAACACCTTCCTTGACGGTGGATGAGGAGTTTAAGCCCCCGCCATGTTGGTCCAATTCTGGATTTTCTTGTAAACCATCACCTAGTTCAAGTAATTCATCTTCCAGACAATCTAGGCCATAATCATATTTTCTGTTGTACGTGTTAAACTCAATGTAACTATCATTGGCGCAGAAGTATTTACAGATGCTTTTTCTGATGGTATTTCCCGATCTTAGTCCACAACGTCCTGTCTTGTTCACCATTTTTACCTTCCCCACTTCTTACCTGTTTTGAATAATTCCTCATATTTATTATTGTTTTCAATAATTTAGTGGTAAGCATAAACATTAATCAATTTCGAAAAAAGGCTGTATTTGATTTTGATGCTAAAAATATTTCGATTTTTATTATTGTAAAAATAGGATTTATCGTTCTTGCGTTATTTATTCGTTACTAGTTTGCATTGCGCAACTAGTACTTACTAGTATGTATTGCGCAAGTAGTACTTGAAAACAGCTAGTGCTAGTACATGCATACTGTTTAGGACTAGATGTATTTTTGTGCTTAATTAATTATAGACAAATTAAGTAGAAATTATACCAATAATATATAAATACCTCCTCTGCATGCTCCATGAAAGCAGTAAAGTTTTTAAAATCGATTTCCTCACCAACACAAGATTTGTTTATAAACACGTTCCGTTACCGAGTCGAGAGTTGTGCTAGCCTAGAGTAAAGTTAAAACCCACATCGCTGAAAAGGGAATTTAATATTTTAGTAATGGTATTGTAGAAATGGATTTTAAATAGCCAAATCTCAGCCGTGAAAGAGATATACGAGTACTTAGGTAGACCTATGATTATTCTTAAACAGTACTCCGATTTCATTGACTCTAAGTCTATACTGTGTACTATACATGTAATTGTTTCAGCATTCATTTTGCTGAATCTGGACATTCTTAAAGCCGTAATTTTCTACTTGCAGAGTAGATAATGGCAAATCTCTTCAGGCTGTTTGGTTTTATTACCGTAACGAAGCTTTTCATTATGTGACATCACGTTATAAAACATCGACTAGCTTCCTGATGTTTACTTTATAACAGAGTAAAATTTGCAATTTGCTGTAATTATAAACACGTTTCTCCATAAAATGGATTAAATCACTCCGAAATTTTTTTTTGTTACCTGCAGAGCAGAACGGCACTTAATGATCACTTTACCCGGTGTCTGTCTATCGGTCTGTCTCGCCCTATCTCGAGGACTGTAGGAGGTATGGATTTGATATTTTGCACATATATTGCTTGGCACTACGGAAATTACCATGGTTATTGACCTTGTGACCTTTGACCTTGACCTTTGTCCAACTTTTTAAAATAGTTTAAAGTGCTGATATACTGCATATTTTTGACTTTTAAGAGTTAAGTTTATGCTATTTAGCATGTGAACTCTTTTTCATAAAACATTATACATGTGTATTTGACATTTAAGAGTTAAGTTTATGCTATTTAGCATGTGCACTGTTTCTCATAAAACATTATGAAAATATCAGCATCACAATCCATTTGACCACTTGACCTTTGACTTACTTTGCAAAAAATACCCCGGGCAGTTTAATTTAACTTATGACATTTGAATTTTGAAAGGCAGTATTTTGATAATTAGCATTTATACATGTTTATGAGCTCATGGTACTGTACGAAACTGTGTGATATTCAGTTATCACTTAAACTTATATTTAAATACTATGAAAATGCATCGGGATCGATATTCCGTAATGGATCGTGTAGACTGAAATTGCAGTAATGTAAAGACAGCTAGACTGAAATCTCTTTTTGAGGATTGTTGGAAACACGTTGCGCTCATGAGACAGTACTTTGAAACTGTATGATATATATTAACCACACAAACTTATATTTAAATACTATGAAAATACATCGGGATTGGTATTGTACAACGGATCGTGTAGACTGACAATTGCAGTAAAGACAGACTGAAATCTCTTTCGGAGGATTGTTCGAAACACGTAAATAGTTATTTTTAACAAGCATTCTGAGAGTATTGCATTAGCAATACTAGTCCCCTACCGGCAAGTGTAATCTGGTTCCCATTAAGAATTGAAAATGTCATAATTCCGTCAAAAGTCAATGAAGCGGGACGAAATGCAAACTTGATCAAGGTAAAGTCACATATAAAAAATCAGCTCAAAATCTGAAAGCGTTTAGAAGAAAATTGCGGAAAACCCATAGAAATTGAAAAGGCCGTAATTCCGTCAAAGATCAATGAAGCGGAACGAAATGTATACTTGATCTGTAACTCATCAAGATACACTCACATACCAAAAATCAGCTCAATATCTGCAAGTGTTTAGGAAAAAAGTGCAGAAAACCAAGTGGGACAGACTGACAGACAGACAGACAGACAGACAGACGGACGGACAGACTCAGAGGAAACCTATAGTCCCCTCCGGTTTCACCGGTAGGGGACTAATAATTTCAATTTAATTATTCTTTTGAGGGTTAGGGAAACATTTTCTTTGATTGTCAGATTCTATCGCGTTCCTATACTATCCATGGATGCAATTTTTTCTTTGCAGGCAAATGCATGATCTGTCATGCTATTAGTAAATAAAAAGTTAATCCCTCTGAAATTTTTTACATCTTTAATGAAGCTACAAAGCAGGCGACGCATGCATTCCTTGGAACACTCGAGCTCTTGTATTATGTGGCTGCTGGTGTAAAGCTAATTAATGGGAAAATGTTGCTCTGATTACAGCACGTGTAAATATCTATGTTTAATTTTAACAAAGTAGCATTACATTACTCAGTCTTACAGCGTTAACTTTTTTCTAAAACATTTTCTAAAAGATGAAAACATTATTTGAATAATTATGAAATGATCGATAAGAATTAATTGTGCATAATGACAGAATATATCTCAATATCTTCATTCTAAACATATATTCTATATCTGATTTGCTCAAGACAGTCAATTGACAGGGCCATAAAACTTCTTATTATACTTTCATATTAAATACGAAAATCCGGTTCATTAGAAGTATTAACCAATTTAATGCCTCCCTCAGTATTAGCAACGTACTTTGCAAAGTGTAAGTATTATAATAATGTCTTATGCGTGTAATTTATGCGCGCACAGTTCGCCGTAGATTTCTCAACACGTCAGCTGTGCATTTGAAATTTAAGCAATCAACAAGACGTTTATAATAGCTTGAGTCTGAATATGATTGATTGCAAAATCAATAAACAGATGATAATGTTTGCCAGCGGGGAAATTATTATTTGCATTATTGAATGATAACATTCTGAGTACAGATGTACCTACCAAACACTAATGAGAGTCGGTGAATCAAGTGTTTGAGCAACGAGAGTACTAGTATCTTATAGTTTAAGGCCTTTCAAAACGAGATCTGATTCAGAATGACAAATCTAATTTAGACTTTTTTTAATCAATCAGACATTCAGTATAATAAAATAAATAGGGCAAGTTTTGGAGGGTATCAGTTGAAATTAACAACCATCGGAAAACTATTGTCTTTCGGGGTGTCAATTTTAACTGTTACATGTACCACCATCCTACAAATATTTATTTAATATTTCCCTGTTGTCCTCCTTCTTCACAATGTCAAGATTTTGTGATATCGGTCTTCTTCACAAACCCTTGACAAATGTCGCGATTTAAAAGTCGGGCTTTTGATTAAACTTGACGTAACATTTGATGAATTATCAACCAAACAATGAAAATATATCTTTTAAATCCGTCGTTTTCAAGTGGATAAAAGCCATAGCACATCTTTTGTGATTGTAAGGAGAAGGATCTTCCAAAAATTAATCTCCGATATTTTATTTCAGGTAACTAGTCACAAATCCTATAAATATTGACACTTTCCATTTTAAAGACTAGTCATATTTGTTTACAAAACTCGCCTTCTAAAAGGCTGTATTCTGACTGGTTCCAGTCCTTGCCTGGAACAAATGAAATAGTAGCTTTCCAGCGCGCTAGCCCGACTTTTGAATAGCGACTTATGTCAAGGTTTTATGTAGAGGAACGAATATCACAAAAACTTGATATTGTGAAGATGGTTGTCGTCATGCTTTTCTTCAAATTCGAGCTCTTCGGTGAGCTCGTGCATTTTCCCGCCATATTTATCGTTAGTTTAACGAAATCTCCCGAGAGCAGCAGACGTCACAACATATATAATAGTAGAAGGGTTTCATCATCCAAGCAGTGACGAAATTAGCTATCTTCTTTCAAACTAGGTAAAAGGAATCAAAGACAATTGTCGGTGAAGTATCCAAGGGACTACAAGGACTCTAAAAATGATAACTGACTTATCTTAAGAAACTGAAAATAAATTTGTGAGCGGTGCCGAATTTTAACTTTTTAAATGCTTATTTTTAAAGGCTTGGCTGTTTCGGTGTAATAAAAAAAGCATATTACATGAATGTTTAGAAAAATGAAGACTTATTCAGCCAAGAAAAATCATTATTCCCTCCGAAAAAGCCCGCGAGGAACATGATTTTTCTTGAAAAAAAAAACAAGTATTCTGAGAGTATTGCATTAGCAATACTAGTCCTCTACCGGCAAGTGTAATATGGTTCCCGTTAAAAATTGAAAATGCCATAATTCCGTCAAAAATCAATGAAGTGAAACGAAATGCAAACTTGATCTATAACTCATCAAGGTCAAGTCACATACCAAAAATCAGCTCAATATCTGCAAGCATTTAGAAAAGAAGTGCGGAAAACCCTGAAAAAATGAAAAGGTCGTAATTCCGTCAAAATTCATTGAAGCGGAACGAAATGCAAACTTTTTCTGGAACTCATCAAGATACACTCACACACCAAAAATCAGCTCAATATCTCCAAGCGTTTAGAAAAAAAGTGCGGAAAACCAAGTGGGACAGACAGACAGAGGGACAGACAGGCAGACAGACAGACAGCTAGACGGACGGACAGACTCAGAGGAAACCTATAGTCCCCTCCGGTTTCACCGGTAGGGGACTAATAAATCTGATCATCATATTTCCTTCACGACCAACAATGACCAAGCAACAGAGGTACATGTATAGTATTGCCACGTACACGAGACTACCTTTCGTATATTGCTATTTTAAACGAGGTAATTTTCCGACATGCAATTGTAGACTGGGTCTCACTGAAAACAATGTCTGCTAATATACATGTATTATTTTATGAAGCGTATTGTATTGCTAATAAACACAAATTCAGATAATAAATTACAATATTTCTGTAACTTGAGATTTCCCTTCTTTATTCAAATGTAATATGTAATTGAGTTCGTAACGCTTACTTTGTTTAAAAAATGGCAAACAATTTTTCTCAATCACTAATTAGATTTATAATATTTTTTAAATATCCCTGCCTTGGGTATAAATCAAGAAAGAATCAAAAACTACAACTAACTAGCTACATGTACAACCTAGGTAAACCTAAGGTTCTTAAAATGCTACTAAATTAATAGATGCACAGGCATCAAGGACATTTCGGCTCTATTCGGGCCCCTAACCCTGGTACCTATGATCTTCCTGACAAATTGTCAGACCTCTGGCTTATGACTTGCCAAACTTTATCCCAAACAATTGAACAGCTTCGGCTCTATTCGGACCACTGATCAACTGTATGGGTCCAGAAGTTTATATCCTAGAAAATATTACCTACTCTCTTCTCCGCTGTAGCAGTAATAACAGCCTCTCATAGTCTCTTATATTTATACTAGTGAGCCAGTCTACTAGAACACAAAGGGATGTCAGGTTATTCCATTATGATTCTAATTATGGTCACTAAAACGTTTTATAGAATAGACCAAAAACATCACATTACCCACGCCTCTGGGTACATTCGTCCCGAATAAAAAAAAATCTTTATTTGTTTTATTGACAGGTAGACAAATTTTGCCTTGAAACAAACAATAAAAACAGATTTAAGTCAACACTATCTGTTTAATATTAAATAAATTTCTCAACCGTGATTTCTTTAATATCCACTGTACCCTCTCGAAATTTCTTTACTGTCTTTACTGAAATTTCCTTACAAAACTCAGTTTGTGTGCCAATGTCAATCATAGTTTTCTTAGTGTCAATAAACTGTTTAGCATCGTCATTTGACGGACGTTTTCCCGGAAGCAACGGAGATGTTTTCTTGCGGAAAACACGCCCAACCATGATATCAGAGTCTGGTTTATTTACTGTTTCTGAAGATGTACATTGACCACTGACATAAGCTGTATTGTTCTCAGATTCTGTCAGAAGTAAATCACCTGGATCTTGCGACAACCATTCTTCATTTTCCAAATCGCTTTCACTTGACAAAGTAGTGTTGTGTTCTTTTCCTGAGTTTTCGGCTTTGCCTCCACTTGCTGTGTCAAGCTTCTGTCCCAAAGGCATTGGACTTTCTATTAAACCTGTATGTGCTCTCTTCATATGTCTCCTAACGTTACATTCTTTTTGTGATGTAAAATCACAAAATTCACAAGCATGTTCTTTCATGGCACATTGTACAACATGCATGGAGAACTCACTATCTCCTTGAAACAATTTCGAACACATTGGACACTTTCTTGTTCCACTCCGTTTGGTAAACTTGGTCTTCACCATGGTTTTGCGTGATCTGAAATAAACAAAAATATATGTTACCACCAGTATTACAAGTAATCAGTTTCATAATCTTTTAACCAAGTTGGAGGTTTTCTACTTCTAAACTGTCTTGTTGGCAACTCTTCCTTAATACCAGAATCTATCTCAACGTTGCAACCCTTATGATCATCAGTAACTTTATCTTTTGCAATTGCTTTTTAATCATTTATGTCATCAGTACACGTTTGGCTTCTGTCAAGAATTTCGTCGTCTCTCTTTTCTACGCCATCTGGAGTTTCTCCAATTAACATTTGATGTCGTTTCAATCTCATCCCATCAACATGTATGACCTGATTTGACCCACGTACCCCACAATTCACCATAAACGTTACATCAGACATTTTTTTAATGATTCTATATGGTCCACGCCAATAACTCGTAAATTTGGGGGACTGTCCCGACTTAGTTCTCGGAAAGTAAACATAAACCTCATTCTTTTCCTTGAATTGTGCCCAATTCAGTTTTTTGTCATGATAATGTTTCTGACGAACCATGGCTTGTTGTGTATTTGTGCGAACAATTTTATGTGCATTTTCAAGTCTTTCCTGCAATTGCCAAACCCATTCATTTTGAGGTATCGGTTTAATGGCAGAGGGTACCTCATACATAATGTCTAAATGAGTGCAAACCTCCCTTCCAAGCATTAATGAATTTGGCGAAAAACCAGTGGTTTCATGAATTGTGGACCTGTATGCCATCATGACATAAGGTAAATGTTCATCCCAATCTGAATGATTTTCATTAACAAAATTGCTGAGCATAGTTGTGAGAGTCCGATTGAAACGTTCCACCATACCATCCGATTGGGGATGATATGGCGTTGTGTGCGTCTTCCGAATTCCAAGCAAAGTACACATTTCGGAGAACAGTTTGCTTTCAAACTGCCTACCCTGGTCTGAGTGTATGACCGCAGGTGTACCAATTCGACATATCACCTCCTCTACTATGATCTTAGCAACCGTACTTGCTTCCATATTTGGCATTGCAAAACTTTCTGTCCATTTAGTATAATAATCTGCAATCACCAGGATGTATTTGTTACCATTTCTTGTAGGTGGTAACTCACCTAAAATGTCTGTCGCTATCCTCTCTAAAGGATAACCAGAATGTACTACCTTCACAGGTGCATACTTGGTAACATTGTCACTCTTCCTTTTAGAACAAAGCTCACAACCAGCTATATACTGCCGTACATCACGCTGTAGCCCTGGCCAATAATACCTATTGCGAATTTTAGATAATGTTTTCTTAATACCAAGATGGCCTGATGTTTTCTCGTCGTGGTATTGTCTAAGTACATTACGACGCTCAGAGTATGGAACTATATACTGGTAAAGTGTCAGCTTCGATGACAAATCTTCCCACTTTCGACAAATTAAATTATCTTTAATGCACAATCTGTCAAACTGAGAAACCAGTGACTTAAGAAAATAGTTTTCTGGTGCCACTTTCTTAGAAATTGGAGAGGAGCCTTCCTCAATCCATTCACGTAGCTTCTGTAGATCATTGTCATTTTTCTGAGCTAACAATAGTGACTGATATTGTCCAATCTGGTTACAAATTTTTACACTGGAATCCTTCTTTTCCAGTGTACTGTGATAACCACATTGCTTACAGGGAAGTTTACTCATTGCATCAGCATTTGTATGTAATCGCCCAGGACGATGTTCAATTCTAAAGTTGTAATTTGATAGTATATCAATCCAACGTGCAAACTGCCCCTCTGGGTTTTTAAATTGCATCAACCATCTGAGAGAACTGTGATCTGTCCTTACAAGAAATTCTCTGCCATACAAGTAATGTTTAAAGTACTTGACAAAATGTGTCACTGCTAAAAGTTCCTTTCTAGTAACACAATAACGTCGTTCAGATTTTTATAAGCACCTACTGGCATACGCACAAACTCTCTCCTTGCCATCAATTACCTGCCAAAGTACAGCACCTATGGCTTTATCGCTCGCATCAGTATCTAAGATAAATTCCTTTTCAAAGTCTGGATGTGGAAGTATAGGTTCAGAAGTCAGAATATGTTTCAGCTTGTCAAATGAAATCTGACATTCCTCCGTCCATTTAAAGAGCTTTTCTTTTGACGTCAAGTCATGCAAAGATTTTGCAATAGAGGCAAAATCCTTGACAAACTTTCTATAATAACTACAAAGACCGATAAATGATCTTACTTCTGTAACATTGGAAGGCGTATTCCAATCTTGAATTGTTTTGGTCTTATCTGGGCTTGTAGCTATCCCATTTGAAGATACAATATGACCCAAAAACACAACTTGTCTGACAAAAGGGTACACTTTTTCGGTTTTAGTTTCAACCCTGCTCCTTCCAAACGGTCAAAAACTCGTGATAGATTTTCTATCATATCTTCAAAATTCCAAAGACTATAATGTCATCCAGATAAATAAGACAGATTTCAAATTGCAAACCGCACAGCACTGTTTCCATGAGGCGTCAAATGTTGCAGGCGCATTGCGCAGGCCGAATGGCATCACTGAAAACTCATACAAGCCTCGTCTCGTTGTGAAGGCTGTTTTTTGCTTGTCTTGAGATTCAACAGCCACCTGCCAATACCCTGAACATAAATCTAATGTTGAAAACTAGGTAGCACCTCTAAGCTGATCAAGAGAATCATCTATCCTTGGCAAAGGATATGCATCATGCTTCGTAATTTTATTCAGCTTTCTATAATCTATACAAAATCTGGTGGTACCGTCTTTCTTCTTTACCAACACTATATTGGACGCCCATGGACTACTTGAAGGCTCGATGATATTCCGTTGAAGCATGTCATCAATATATATGTCCACCTCTTTTTGCATATGCACAGGTATTCTCCTTGGAGGTTGCTTAAAAGTTGGGCTATCTCCAGTACTTATCTTGTGTTTAATAATGTTGGTTCTTCCTAAATCTCGTTCAGACCTTGCAAAAGATGAGTGATAACGTATTAGTAACTGAAGTACAGCTCGTTTGTTCTCCGGTGACATACCAGTACTTGACCTTACATATAAATCTTGCAAATGATCTGGCAGTTCTAAAAGTTCTTCGCAATCTGCAGTCCTTTTGCCAACAGTTGCTGTCATAACATTTTGAACTGAGTTCAGTTCAGCAATAAACATCACACAAATATGACTATCGAGCAACAGCAGTGATGGTTAACCTCCACAGAATCATGTATACTGTGGAATCATCATTGTTCATGGGGGACCAATGTTCGTGGGTCACCCTTACGCACGAATTTACATCCCCATGAACGTTTATTTTGTAAACATTGATTCATTAAATCTACAGTATAAACGAATAACCCAGGAAATTACGTTCCCACGAACAAGTAAAATTTTGCTTGCCCACGCGCATTGACCGCCACAAATAAAAATGATTTAAGGATCTACACAAACCAGAGAAATACTTTAATTTACATACGATTTTTTCCTGAATTCAAAAATAAAATAATATTATTTACTACATTCACTTTAAATTTTTTTTTTTTTGTTTATTGTAGCTCTGTAGTTGAGAAAATTTGGTTTGTCTGTCCGAATTTTCTCAACCAGAAAGCTACACTTCTGCAGTTAATATATTTAATGCTTTTATTATTTCTGAAATATATTTTACATTCAGTAACTTTTGGTCTTATCATATGCATAACATCTTAACTGTTCCATTAAAAAAATCGCGCTCATCACAGTCCTTTGAGGAATAGCAGTGTGAAGATTAGTTCAAAATTTCCCCGATATCAATTGTGAATCAACATATTTCCATTCCATGTAATTTTTGCTTTATGTTGCAAATACTGCAAATACACGATATTGCAAATATCAAAATAGAAATCCGCTTTATATTCTATTTAGGAAAATTATAAATGTAGCAATATCTTTGCAGGAACTCGTGCATACGTAGATAGGCTGATTTCACAAAAGATGCAGGTAAGCTTTATGTATAATTTCGTCTCATAATTCATCTACGAATCTTTACAAATCCCCCTTAAGTAATATGAATTTGGTACATGTATTTATAAGCTATGTGATCCACTTATAAATCGGACAATCGATCAATATTCTACTGATGAAAAAAGAAAAGAAAATGTTTTTCATTTTGGACGTTGATTCTGAACTGCTGGAGACTTCATTTACTATAGAAGGTTGGTCATTTCCCCGAAATTTTTGTAATTTTCCTCACTTACATAGAGTGATTTTCTGGTGAACTTGTTCTCTCCCATCCATGACTTGGTTTTGCTTGACATTGCATTTAATTTCATCCTTCTGTAGTTGTTTCAGTTACGAATCAAAAATCAAGCACAATATAGACTTTCTTGCATTGACCTTTACTCAAATCATACGAGAAAGCAAGCTTATTTTTATTTTTTCAATGTTGTAAATTGTGCCTTCCTGATTTTACATGGAAGTATCACTTTTCTGTCAAAATAGGGTTTGAAAACCAGAACTTGTTTTTGAAATGGCATCATTGCCACTGTTTGCATCTCTGGCATTAATATAAGGGAAAACAGAATGTTTACTCAACACATTGGCAAATTACCTGCTAAATGCTTCATGCCAACGTTTAATGAAGGACATTATCAAATAGTTGTCAGAATTTGAACAAGATAAATCTAAAATTGTTTTAATTAGATTACTTGTAAACATTCAATTCTATTTTTCATTGGCATTAAGGTTCATTGTCTCTTTGATAAGAGAGTCAACTCAGAAAGGGATAAATACATGTATTATACTTTAAAAAATTATAGAATTGTCAAGTTAAAGGCCATTCCTTTCAAATGTTACACCGCAAGCTATGGTGAAATTGTTTGCATTCTAATTATGAATTACTTCTTTTTTACGAAATATCATAAATTAAGTAAGCTTTTCATCTGTTAAAGAGTGATATATATAATTATAACAATCGTCTTATTGTAAAATGCAGGGGACTACAATGACCGGGCTAAGCTTTGTCTAAACATGAAC